TACACCAATCGACCTCAACTTCGCACCAGACAGTCCCCAGACCCCCCTCGTGACCAAACCATGCTTGGTTTGGTCCGAATCTGACCAGGGAAGCACGAATCCCGGATCTAATTTTTGGAACTTTAAAGGTCATCGTCGATGGTCCGTGTCTTGTTCAAACCAAAAGATTAAGGTCTAATGGACCTTAATCGAAGTGTTTCTCATCTGAGAAACACTTCGATTAAAGCCCGTTCAGCCTTAAGAAAGGTCTGTCCGAATCCGAGTTAAGGCTTTTGATTTTTCGAGATTTGAGGTGAGTTTTGCTTTTCTTTGCTTATTTCTGTTAGTCCATGTTCGTTTAAAAGGTCTGTTCAGGTTTTGTTTTAATCTGTGTTTTGAGTTTTATCAACTGTTCCTGTCCACCTCGCCTGAACCTCTGTTGTTTGATTGAGTCCTTCTTCTAATTGTTCTGATAATTTGTATGTATGTATTTGTTGTGCAATTAATTGAATTTCAAATGTGAACTGACCAACTGATTCCTCCCATGTAATTTTGCTTAGTCAGTACAATTCGAATCATGTGTTCGATACTGTTAAATGTCTGATTTTGGTCTCGATTGTATGAGTTATAACTAGTATAGTCGAGTCGACATATGTCGTCAATTAGTTTCAGATGTTTGAACAATATACAAATTGATCTGCTTCTGTTAAGCATTGTATGAATCAGTTAGGAATTGAATTTAGCTACTTATAGTTGTTAATCTGAATCATAAGTATAAAAGGATTGGTTTTGTTTAGTTGCAGTCAGAATTGGAGGGCATGTGCACTTGTGCACAACATGTGCACTTGTGCACAACATGTGCATAAAGGCCTTTGTTACATTTAAAATAGTTTGACAGCATATGCTGTCAGATATATTCTGCTGCCCATTACCCTGCTTTAGTTTAAGAAGTATTAAACCTTTTTTTAAAAAAAAAAGAGTAAGTCTTCCAGGGAATGTTGATGGGGGGATTAATACTTAAATGGCTAAGTGGAACTGAAAAAGGAGAGCACATGGGAGGTATCTGATTGTCTAACAGGCTGTAAAAGGGTGGAATTTAAGCTATAAAGGGAGGAAGAATACACACAGGACAGACATAGGAGGGAGAGCAGGAGATAGAGATACAGAGGGAAATTGTTAACACAGAGAGAGAGGGGATTGGGACTTGAACATTTGAGAGGAGATAGATCAGAGGAAAATACATCTGATATTAGAGGGACAAACATAGGAGAGAAATAGAAGGGAAATACAAATGCACCTTGAGAGACACACACACAAGGGAAGCTGAAACCAAACAGAATCAGTTTCTAAGTGAGAAAGAGAGTTTATTTTGGAAATCAGGAGGGGGATTTAGAAAAGAAATTCTTGTTCGACTGAAAAACACTACTCTTCCTCATCCTTTCGTGTCTGAAATCCAGCATCCAGTTTGTTTTTGTTTCTATCAGATTTTAGGATTTTCTTCTGAGTTTTGAAAATATCAAACATCGAGTACTGTACCATCGATTACTGCTTTGGTCTGTTGGTCTGGGGTTGTCATTGCTGCTGTATTGCTTTGTTGTTACTACC